CGTTCGAATTTTTCTTCACCTTTTTCGCATTGGAGCGAAGTTGGTGGAAAATCGATACGCTGATTGGCAAATTGCCAGGAATGGTCAGCTGGTCGACCGCCTCCTTCTGGTACTAATATTCGGCTGCATTTCAACTGATTGGCTTCAACTGAGCATAAATCTTCAAATGAAAGTCAAAGAGTGTTCTTGACATTGTACAAGAACACATAAATGACCCCAAATGAAGAAAATGCGTTGCAAATAAAAAAATTGAAATCCTAGCATGCATTTTANTTTCGCATTGGAGCGAAGTTGGTGGAAAATCGATACGCTGATTGGCAAATTGCCAGGAATGGTCAGCTGGTCGACCGCCTCCTTCTGGTACTAATATTCGGCTGCATTTCAACTGATTGGCTTCAACTGAGCATAAATCTTCAAATGAAAGTCAAAGAGTGTTCTTGACATTGTACAAGAACACATAAATGACCCCAAATGAAGAAAATGCGTTGCAAATAAAAAAATTGAAATCCTAGCATGCATTTTACAAAACAACGTACTATATGGAAACTTAGGTGCATTTAATCGTAAAATTATAAATATAAGGGAATTTACTCACCTTTCTGTGCAGAACAACTGAATAAACATAAAAGTTCAGCGAAATATCAGTTGGGGAATAAATAATTTCAGGAATCTAGTCTAAATCAGCTGTTTGGGTGTTTTGTGTGCCATTGCACACATGGCGTCGCATTCATGTACTTTCGCGAAAATTCACTTAACCACCGTTTTCCCATTATGAATCTCGTCCAACCACTTTTTCCTCTTTCTTTCGGCCGTTTGTTTTCCTTTTTTCACTGTTTTTAGCCTTTTATGCTTCACCATTGTCCTAGCGTAGGCCTTACCTACCACTATCTCTAAAATACCGGATACCCCCAAAATTGTCCTGAACTGTGCCTTTAAGTTGGCTCGTTTCCAAGGGTTCAGTAGTGGTCCCACAGTTCCTCTTCTGATGAATCTTCGTCGTCTGTCGAAAGAGTATTGATTTGTGCTTTTAAGGACCGATACTTGTTCCACGTTTCAACGTCTCTACAAGTCTGTATTTCTAGAACCTGCTGAGTATGTAGGTGTCTGCCTGTGATAAGGTTGCCAGCCTTTGTTGGCAGAAGGTGAAGCCCAGATGGAAGGGTGACTGGTGTCCGATCTGTTCTCTAGAATTTCCATACCTGATCACAGCCGAGAAGTATCAGAGGCTGTATTTGTTTTCCTTCTCGGAGCTTTTCTTTTGAATCTCCTTGAAGATAATGTATGAAGAAGAAGTGCTTCCTCCGGACTCGTTGGGAGTTGGAACTCTTCAGCTAGTGTATTGTCGATAAATGAAATCTCGGCACCAGCGTCTAATAGAACAGGGAAACTGCGGAAGTCACCTTTCTTGTTATCGATCAATTGAATTTTGCCTCTAGGAAGGAACGTGGTTGAATGGATTTCTTGTTTTGACTGAACCTGAAAAACTGGTTTTTCAGTTTCTTCGATGCGTCCCTCTCCGGCTATAAAGCTGACCTTTTGCGTCGTTCTGACATTTCTCTTCGTCCTATTGTCCGTCTTCTTTGGATCCACAACTTGTGATTGCTGGGGTTTCTCCTGTACTTCACTTCTGCAGGCAAGGTCTTGAAGCAAGCTGATGAATGCTGAGATCCTTCACACCGGTGACAGTTTTTGCGTTTGCATTCCGATGTTTTGTGCTGTGATGAAGGGCACAGTTGACAAAGCCGGTTGTCCCAAAGGTATTTTACCCTTTCTCTCGGAGTTGTATACGTGGTACAGGAAGATGGTTTATGTTCGCTTCTACAGAACATACAGAGATTCTCCCTATCGTTGGAATTTTCCTTCGTCCCCTTTATTGATGTCGTCTGCGGCGTATGCGAGGATCGATTGATGAGAACGTTCATCATTTCTTTTTCTGACAAAACGTCTAAAATTGCATTCAATAGTGCTTCCATCGTGAATGTCGTATTTGGTGGAAGAAGACGCCTCTTTTCTAAGCAATTCTTTCTTCATATAAGCAGGAAATTTGCCCAGAATTTTCTTGACAATTACTTGAGTGTCTACGTGTTCTAATTTTTTTTCAGTTGCATAACAGTGACTTGCACTTGTTCGAAAAGCGTGCGTTGGTTTTTAAGGGTCAAACTGCGCAACCTGTAATGGTGGAGCTGATCAGTCAGTTTCTGGATCACTTATTCTGAGTTGCCATAGCAAGCTTGAAGAAAGTTTACTGCTCTGGAGTACTTCTCTGGAGTAACATGAAGTTTCTTCACAGATTCCCTACCTTCGCCGTCAAGAGCGTTCAATAAGAAGTTGAACTTGAACAGTTCCCGTGAGTCCCTTGAGTGGACATTTGCATTGAACAGCACCCAGAAATTGTCGAAGTCCCAAATGTTGCCCGTAAACTTGGGAACAGGGAGTGGCGGAAGCTCGGCTTGTTTGGGTACTTGATTAAGGATTAGGTTATGGGGTGCTGAGCTTTGAGCTGTTTTCTGTAATCTCAGCCAATACAAGTGCGAGGGAATCCTCTGCGCGAGTGAGATACTGCTCTATGTCGGTAGGTCCAGCCTCTCCACCACCTACCTCCAGAGAGAGTAATTCACTCAATGCTTTTCCTCTTGACTACTGAGTGTTTCTGTCGTCCCTACTACTTCTTCTAGGCGGCAGAAGTTGCTTAGGTTAACCTTACTCAGAAGGTCTTCAGTGTGTACTTGTAAGGAATCGAGGCTTCCATTCTTGAAACGCTGCAAAAATTGTTCAAGTCTGTTGCAAAAGCGCGTTAAGCGGCGTTTGGTTGTTGTTATTTGAAAAACCATCCCGGCCTAATTGATTGATACTGTAGATCACAGATAATCAATGCTCGGCCACTAATCAGTCGTTGAACCTATCCTCAGTGAACTTCACATTCAACCTGCACTTGACTTCTGGTTCAAGTTCCCAACTTGTACTGCACTTATTCGAAAGTGTAAAAAGGAAAAATTAAAAAATTCCAAAACTCCACTTGAAATTTTCAAAAAGCCGGCTTGAACTCGCTTCGAACTTGGTCCATCCGATGCACCATGTGTCGCCTATTGTCACCCGGATTCTGATGTGTGTACATCGACGGCCGAAGCACTGTAATTTATTAACCTCAGACTTGCGTATTTAAATCGGTTACAATACATGAGCCAAAATAACAGTTAATAACAGAACTACTAACAGATGGAAAAGGGTTGAGGAACCCGTCTGTCTTGAGCGCTTTTTATACCATCTTTTCCCACCAAATCCGGTTTACCGCCAAAACCTGCAGTAGTCGATCGCGGAGTAGACCATTCACGACATCTTCGAATTCAACAAGGTCTGAAATGAGATAGTAAGCAAGCAGAGACGAAAACAAATCCAATGCAAACAAAAGAGGGTGTTTATCTTTAAGGTGAGTTCAACAGTCTTCGAAGTCAGGCGAACTGGAAACAAAATCAGGACGAGAAAACGAGAGCTGATGGGTGCAAACTTGAATGCGTCTAGCGACTAACGATACCATCCTTCCAATACCATTCAGTAGTAGTGGAGTGGGCCATCCACGACAATGTCCTTCTGCCCTTGTAAAAACCTGACAGCCTTTCAACTGCAAATAAGCAGAGTTCAAAGTGAATTCTGGAGCAGGATAGTGAACACCTCAGGCTTTATAATATTATGAAGTCTGAAAAGATTAGGGATATCCTGAGTTCTTGAGACGATTGTTACTGCCATTGTGTCCCCTAAAGCAACCGTGGTGGAGGGATTGACTGAAAACGAAATCTCAGTTTTTTGAAGAGCAAATAATCAAAGCCGTTCCGTGAGACAGTTGGTCCGTGAAGAAGCATCGACTCTTCAAACGCGTGACGCGTACAAGGCGGCTATTTTAAAGAAAATTTCAGACTTTTGAACGATGGATCCTGGCACGGATATGGCATTCGCCGATAATTCAATTTATATGCTGAGGCAATAAGGTGAAATCTTCTACGACTGCCATTCGTTGCTCTCATTGTCAGACAAGATGAGACTTGCTGCCAATCTCCATATCACAATATAATTTGTTGGTGTAATTATTTTTGCAACTAGCATCTCCACGAAGGAGCTTGAATAGCTATGTGTACCTTTCATAACTCTCAAAATCCAGGCAAAAAGGCATCTGTCACGTGATCCAGCGGACCGATATTATTTTGACTTGGCCTATTCAGTTTGTTTGTTATGGTCTAGTTATTACCTTATGCCCTGATTTTCCTTTCAGAGTGCACTCTGTGATTGTATAAATAAATAAATAAATAAATAAATCTGTGAGGAAAGTTCTGATCATCATGGAGCCACTACAATGCAGCTCATGGATGATGATGAGATACAGTATTCGGTTTACTCCACACCGTCGAATAGAGAAGTTCAACTATAATCCAGACCGAGGCGGCACCTTCGACATATGTCTCAGAAGATAACAAGATTTACTCGACAACGAGTGTCACGATCTCGAAGAAAAGGACAAAACTTGGGTACTTATCTCACGCTAGAACAAGAACTGCCATAAGGTGCTGACCAAACCTCTAAAATCTCATGAAGTGACAGCAGACTGGGAGTAATGATAGTTGATAGCAAGAGCGGACTCCGCATAGAGAAAGCATTGTGTAAAACGGTATTCGCTTATCGATTGCCTACCGCAGCACTCCCCGAAGTATCCGCATGATTTCTTTGGATGCTCATCATACCTAATCTGAATGGAAAAATGAGATTTCCAAATCACTCGTATAAAATCGTTATGAAAATCAAAATGAAATAAAATGGGCAGCAAATAAGAACTAGAACTGTTTTGGAACGCTGTATGTCCTGCTGCATCACGTGTCAGCGCTTCTGCTTAGACATCTTCTTTTGTTGTTTTCATGTGCATTAATAGACAAGAGCCCCCAATACTATGAACTTGGTACACGCTTCAGGTATGCACTGTAACAGCTCCGATGACATTGTATACGGTACGATATATGTTTTGGCCGTTCGGCACTGCGTTGTGTAAAATAGCGGGATCACTGCAAGGATTCAACATATTTCTATCAACATTCTCTATTGCAGCGATAGCATTCGATAGGTGAGTTTTCTCAAATTAACTAAGCAATTAGCAATCAATTACACCCTCTTCAGATATGTTCTTGTCATTTTCCCAACCAAACGCGAACGCCAACAGAATCTTTCATTGATGTTCTTCGTACTTATTTGGGTGGTCTCATTGGTGCTAGCAGTGCCGCTACTGATCACCTCCGATCTCAATACCATTTATGAGGATTCTTCTTGTGATATTTCACTGAGGATATGTCATGAGCAGAATGAAATTTGGCAGACGGTTGGTATCACTTTACTGGGCTGTTTCGCTTTCAAATGTTATGGCTGGTACATAATGATGCACATACCACTAATGTGATTAGTGAAATCGAATCGAGTTAGTTGGGCATTCTGACTTCGCAGGGCTTCCTATTCGTTTTCGGGCATATCTGAACGGTAAAACTTGTGAGCTGGAGGTAGACCACCTCCAGAAGGTAATTGTCCCTCCAGTTTAGGTACGTATTCATTTTACTATGCACCTCTCAGTGAAAGGCTCCATTCGACTGTGCGCTGTCGGTATCTATCGACGAATGATTAAGTATGAGATCAAGCTTTGAATCATGACTGATTTCTCAGAGCAAGTTCGATTCTGCCCCAGACAATGATTACTCTCTTGTAATGGATAAAGGCATCGCAGAAGCATATAAGATGCGTAGCGAAGTAATACGTACGTACTACGTACTACGTACTTCGGCTAATCGAGGTAAACTAAATTATGGTGAAGGTGTGGCGCGTCGCTAGCCACTGTAGTTAAAGCCGACTACAGGGCGCACTTTTGTAGTCGACGGCTCTACCACAATACTTTACGAACGTTCTGCTTTTTCTACTTCTTCTTTTATGCTAGCCCCTTTTTCTTTCAATCTCTCCTATAGTGAAGAAACACTCACGCTTGTTCGTTTTAAAATTCAGCTAGTGACGCACCAATCTAAAATCGCGCCGCAGAACGCAGGGAGCGGAAGTAGTATGGTAACTGTCCGAGTCGTTAGCAAGTGTCAAGCTTCCTCTGTAACTATGAGGTATAGAATAAGTGTTTTCAGCTGAAGGACCCATGGCTACTACAGTTTGCCTCATTCCAGTGATGTTTTACTTATGCAGAGTGAGGCAAAATTGTGGAAGCAAAGCTCAGGCGCACTATCTCCGACTACGGGGCAGTTTTTGTTTCTGAACTTTGTTTGTTTTTGTTCAAAGCTGTGAACTCTGTTGCAGCTAGCCCTAAATTTTTGCATTTCTCATAAACAATGATACGTTTTGCCGTTCCGTTTTGCATCGTTTTGCCGTATTTCTGCGACTGTCAATGATTCCGAGCAATCAACGTTTCTAGTTGTTCAGATGCGTCAGGAAATATTGTTTTAAAGACTACTGCGAGGTCACGTAGCTGCGTTTCTGGCCGCTCGGATCGTGGGATTATTAATTATGTAACTTTTGCGGCCAATTTTAGGAATGTGGGTAGTCTAGGCTTCGTTACGGCACCGTTAATGCAGAGCTGTAGAGGTGTCGCATTTCTACGAAATCTAAGAGTAGGTACGTAAGAATTGCTCAAGTGTGAAAGCATAGCAGGGTTGCTCCATGTTGCTAGTGCAAAAGATTGTAGAGAACGAATCGACTAATAGTTTTTTTGGGTGGCATACAGTGTCAGTAGAAATAATTCGGGCCAGAAGTTAATCATCCAAGTAACTTGCGTAAGTAACATCACTTTTGCGGCGTTTACCGCACTCAAAGGCCCGTGGGACTTGTGTGATGCTGTCTGACTTGAGTCAGTTATCTTTAAGAGGAGGTCAGATGTTCTAGAGCTCGGCCTCCGTGTGGCGCCTCCCAAAGCCTGCTTGCCTCAGACGGCAAATTGCCTTCTTCATGTTCAGAAGACTAGATAATAGATTTAATGCTTCTACAATGTATCTCCCTCTTTTTTCTGGTGGTAAAGATGACATCTGTTGTACATCTTCCAAGCGACAGGCATTTGTACCAGTAATAACGAGAAAAGTTGTGTTAGCTCCCGGTCGATTGAGCGTTGCTACAATTCCTTCAAACGTGCATTTTCTACCCATCGAGTTCCTCTCCGAAAACAAAAAACTGCTTGTAATTGATTTCGAGTGACTTCTTTATAATTCGTCATCATCCATATCCTTCACTCTTACAGTGGCTTAGGCAAATTGATATTGAATTCTGGCCATGCACCAAAAGTAGAATTTTCCACTTCTGCCCATAGAGCTTCTCATACCATGCCTTCAATTCCAAGTTTTCGCTGTCGCTAATGCTGCGTTAGAGAGTCTGCTGCATTTTCTAAGAGAATCCGAGAATTGCCTTTTTTGCCAGCGCTTGTTGGCAAGCTTCCATCGATTCAAACTCGTTAGACTTCATCATCACAATTGCTCATTTACTTTGCTCCAGGTACGTTGGACGTTTTGGAGGGTTGAAAGCTGAAAGTTTCAAAGCAGAGCAGTGTGTTGTATTCGAAAAGGGGTCTCAACTGAAGCAGGATGGAAGTCTTGAAATGTGCCATTGGCCTGTTCACTCTTCGCTATTCAAGGGACTGTCATGCGAGAAATGTCGAAAAGAAGAGTAATCTCGGACACACTCGTCAAATGCCGCAAAGACAGAGAGAGAGAGCTAGATGATCGGAAGGCATCACTATCTTTTGAAGACTGACGAAATGACAGCAGCGAAGCAAATATGTGAGCTGAGGTGCATAATAATCATAAAGAATGGTGCAAATTCAGAAAGATGCTGCAAAAAAGGCAATTGCGGGATTCCGTGAGGCTGTTACCATATTTATGGCACAACCTCTATTGCTGAATCACTTCAACGCTCGGTCACTCCAAACAGGGCGTTTCACATAACACCGACATACTAATTTCACTTCTTCCACGTCATTGGAAATCTTGATCAAATGAAGCGGTCCAACCATGAAAAATCTGTACGGCGAAGCAGTATTAAACATTACTCCAGTTCAGTCAATTTTGCCAATTTGTTTTCAGCCAGTATAGAATTGTGAATTCACTATTAAACGGTCAATGGAGTGCGCTGCTGCAGAAGACAGCTCGGGAGGAGAAATTAGCAACATCGACCTTCAGCGAAAACTCGATATTGTTTGAGGAATGATGCAACAAAGTTTGAGAACGTCGATAAGTATTATAATATTGCTAGAGAGATGATAATGTGCGCGACCTCAAATCGTCAAATTGTACAGAAGGAGCTATTTACACGTTACTGATCCCAGGAAGCCTATCTACTCATTACTTGCTTCAAGAAAAATTGTGTGATGAAATGCAAGCTCCTTTTCGAACGGTGAAAACGTCGGCTCCTCCAAGACATCGACTTACATAGTTGAGAGGTTGTTCACGTTGAACCTCAGAAGAAAAACGTAAGCCTACTCAGGGAGCACCCTCAGGAACGCCCTGCTCTCTGATGAAAGACCAGCTCGCATTCAGACCTCTTTGATCCAACAGGGTTCGGCAGCAACTCATGGGTGCAGCAGTAGTGGAAAGATCTCTTTTAAGACTTCGCTTGCACTCAAGGACGGCCAATTGGTAGTTCCAAATCATAGTTGATGGTTTATTCAGTGCGGTGTTATTTGGAGGTAGAGCCTCCTCTGAACAATACCACTCGATATGCTCGATATGCTCAGAAGCTTGGAAGAAGTTTCCCTCATTCACATCTGTGTTGAGATAGTTACTCTCGAATTTGACCTGCTGGCATCGTCTAAAGACAGATGGAACTCTTCTTCCACGTAATTGGGCATCCACCCCGCCGTGCATACATAGGCTTCATTGCACAGTGCACTGCTTTCGTGCCATGACTCTATCGCTGATATTGTTGACAGCGGGGACAAAAATTCTGAGAAACTTCGCTACTATTAAAGACGCCATTCGATTGCAAACGGTCTCTTTTTTTTGTAGAGGAGCCGGACTTCTCCCTTGAACTCTCGCCTTTCTACTTCTCAACGCGTTTCCAACACGGGGCATAAATGTTCCTAATCATATAATTTAGTGCCCAAAAACTCAGGCTAGCGGCACAAAGGTCAGAGATAAAATACTGACAGAAGTTTCTTTTGTGAACATCACCTTGACTTGAAAGTGTTTTAACACTAAAACAGTCCTATTCTGTTACAGATGATGATTTCTAAACGGACGTACACGCTATCAGTCCTAGCTACTCAGTATGCATTTCCCCTATTCTCCCTAGTGTTCGCGTACACTCGAATCGCTCACCGTATGAAGTTGCGCTTCGCCAATCGAAATATCCCATTTTCAAGCTCACTTAGCCAAAACCAACGGAGAAAGTGGGTGCATTTTGAAGTACACATTTCCATCAGTATCTTGACATTCTAAATTTCAGATCAGCGGTGGATCGGCAACGTCGTACACATCTACTTCTTACGTGCGTCGTCGCCGTGTTCGCGATCGCATGGCTGCCACTGAACGTTTTTCACATGGTATCTCTTTCCATAATTCCGCATCCACAATTGAGTAATTTGTATGTAGCAACCGAAGCTGATGAATAATTGAACCAGTCCTAGAAACTAGAAAGTTGATTTTTCACGTGATTTTGATTTTTTTGTGATTTTTCAAGAGTCTACAGAGAACGAGTCGAAAGATCAAGAAAACTTTCAGCCTTGCCCGCAGTTATCATTAACGTGTGATCATTGTTCTGCTTCTCTTATTTTGAATATTTTCAAGGGCAGAGTTTTTTCTTTACTCCGCTTTTGAGGTCCACTTTAACGAACACTATTCTCAGGTTAACACCTTTGAGTGGGTATCACTGTTTTCCGTGTCGACGTTTGCGATTTGTCATGTGGCAGCAATGTGCTCCGCGTGTCTCAATCCGCTCATCTACGCCTTTTTCAATCACAACTTCCGAACGGAATTCATTAGGCTATTCGAGAAACTGGGTTTGCGGTGAGCGAGACGTAATCATGTCATTGGAAGTTACGTTTGCCTGTTAACTCACCATTTTTTTGCGGAATTGACGACAATATTTGTCTTCAGATCAACTATACGTTAGCATCTTCATGGAAAATCGAAGTCGGATGGCATATTTCGAAAACATATATACATATATTAGCGTTTATAATCAGAATGCGGTAACATCATAAAAGCTAGCAAAGGAACGAGAGCGGCGTTCTGAAACGTTTACACACTCTATCTACGTAGAACGCACAGATATCACGATAAGAAAGAGGAAATTGTTGCTATCCTGGAACGGCTACCAGTTACAATGGATACGCTCATTCTAACCGTATTATTGAAAACCTCCCAAGCAGTGACCATTTGATTCATCGATTAATTAATTGATTCATTTATTAATCGCCATGTTCGACCCTCGATGAATCTCGGCATAGTTCCAACACAAGTTGATTTTTTTGAACAGAACACGAAGTTAAATATCATAAATTCAGCGGCTAATGTTTTGGCCCTTTTCGCCTATTTCGGAGACTAAAAATGGTGGAAACCAGTCTCTGATCCATCCGACCAAACGTCTCACCAACCTTTGAAACCTTCGAAGCTAATCAAGTCACCATGTGATCAATAGCTAGATAAAAGCCGTACCTACCAGATCAGCAGAGTCCACCCACCGGGACCACAATAATAGGTTTAGTAGCGTTTATCAGGCCGATCAGAGTCCACCGTTCCGCCAAGACTAACCTTATATAGGGGGTTAGTTCCCGCGTTATTGGCATACATTCTCCCTTCCTGTGCATTTTTGGATGTCTAACCCGAATCCAGAACGCCTCCAGGGTTTTGCGCGCGGTTGTCTGGGTTTCGTGCGCCACGACCTCGACGATGACCTCAAAATCGTCGCCGTTATGAGATTCAGTCCTGTGACAACCTGAAGCAGTAGGTGGCCGCGAGCTCACCTCTCCCTTCATATGCCTCTTAGCACGAACGAAAAGCGGTCTAGCCGTCTCCTCTATATCTTCGTCTTCACATTTCCACAAATGATCCTGTAAACCACACCTGCGATGGCACAACTCCATCACTGCCATCGGGACAGACCACATAGCTCTCGGTCGCGCACGTGCGTTCATAGAGACGGTTTCGGACGAGACGATGTTTTAGGTTATTGGGAGGAATATCCACAAGGCCAGCAGTGTCTGCCAGTTATTTATCATGCACTCAAGGTGCGCCATCAGCAAACTATAAAAGAGAAACATTACAGAGCTGGAAAAATGCAGAAAAGTCGTTACACACACTAGATGCTACATTTGCATATAAGTAGTATTGAAATGAAATGAAATAAGCGACAGTATGATTCTTTCGATGCCATTGGCAGCTCCAACATTCTCAGTGGGCGAAAAGAATGCTCAGCTATTCACTCGCAACTTTTTCCTCTAAAGTTAGTTGAAGACATAAAAGGTGGCAAATGCGATAGAGAGAGGGAAGGCGGTGGCTATACTCACGTCTTTTACCACTGCAGTTAGTTGAAAAACGAAAAACAGCAATCGTCGAAGCGATCGAGTGAGGAGAGGTGGTGACTGCAAAACAAGCTGCCCATTTCATTTTCATAGCCACATAAGGTCAAGCGAGGTAAACGAAATTAAACAACGTGCGTAGACATCTAGTGTGTGAAACAGTTCTTCAAAAACAAAAGGCACGCATATTACTGCCCTCTTCTGTCTGAGTCAACCGATATTCATTTTAAAGGCACTGTTCACGAAAAAATGGTTTCGGAAATCTGCACATGGTTTGAATTCGACGCCCCCTCTGATACCATTTGTGCAGGAATGAGGTCGGAAAACGGTCTGGATAGAGCACAATAAGGGCAGGAACAGTGGGGGACGGGAGGCCTCCGCCCCTCGCTAGGCTGACTATGAAATCTAATTGCCGTTCATCACTTTCGCATTGGGCGAAGTTGTCTGCTTGGGTGTGTTGTCTGCTATTGCAGACATTGCGTCGGCTTCGTGCACTCGCCCGAACACTCCCTAACCGCCGTTATTTCAATATGAAACTCGTCCAACCCCCTTCCCAGCTCTTTTTTTGACCCTTTCTATTTCTTTTTGTTCNATCTGCACATGGTTTGAATTCGACGCCCCCTCTGATACCATTTGTGCAGGAATGAGGTCGGAAAACGGTCTGGATAGAGCACAATAAGGGCAGGAACAGTGGGGGACGGGAGGCCTCCGCCCCTCGCTAGGCTGACTATGAAATCTAATTGCCGTTCATCACTTTCGCATTGGGCGAAGTTGTCTGCTTGGGTGTGTTGTCTGCTATTGCAGACATTGCGTCGGCTTCGTGCACTCGCCCGAACACTCCCTAACCGCCGTTATTTCAATATGAAACTCGTCCAACCCCCTTCCCAGCTCTTTTTTTGACCCTTTCTATTTCTTTTTGTTCATCGTTTTTTGCGCTTTTTTCGTTGTTACCGCTTTATTCTAGAGTAGTTCTATGAATTCCCGTCAAAAAAGGGTACCCTAAATTTATCGTAAACGGTGCCTTTAACTGAGGGCATTGTTGGAAGAAATGGGCTAACAATTACCGATAATTACGGAAATTCTCAGCAATCCGGCATGCCAAATAGTAACAAAAGACGCACTTCCCTCAATTTTATTTGAGGACGCTTACGGTCGAGCTTCTAGGATACAAACAGGTAGCACCTGGAGCCACATCGCTCTACGAATGATAAAGACTACAAATCCCGTTCCGGTGCTTTCTGGCTAGCTTGGAACATCGAGGAGCTTATAGTACATCTTCGGCAAGGCCTGAACACCCAGTTCTTACTCGGCTCAAGCTTCAGTTTGCCCTGGAGCAGTTTGAAACAAAATTGCCGTTTAAAACCCGTCTGTAAAGAAGCTTCTTCAGCTTCAGTCCCTCTAGACATTCTCTGTAATCAGGCATGCAAGCAGGTTACGTGAGGCTTGAGTAACATCTGTACATCACTTCTTTCCTAAAAGCTTGCTGTACTTGCTCTATTCTTGCTTGAATATTCCTAGTGTGCGGGCTCCAGATCTAGGACTCATAGTCTTGTTTCACCTCTATCACCTGTCGTCCCGCTAAGTCGACTTCCTCGAGCGGGCGCAGGTAACGCCTCTATTCGTCCCTTTCACAAACCAAGTGGTCCAGTGAATCGTTCTCGCTTTAGGGAGACGAGTTTCAGCGTTCCTTCCGTTCAGAGCTATGAAGAAGAAGTCTGACCATTCCGTTGGCGGCTATTATGGAGTCCGTTCGATGTCCCGAGGGACCCGGTCGGTAACCGCCCTGGTCCAACGGTCAACACCATGTGTCAGGCCCACCCGATCTTTGATTTCTTGGCGTAATCGAATGCATCCCAGATCTCCCTTCGTTGAGAGAGCTCGGAACTCCGAAAGCCCTTCTGCAATTGCATGTATTGGGAAATTTTGAGCAGCGTCCTTTCCGAAGCGCGTTGGGTAACTCTGACAGCATGCTCATCCTGCTTTCGTAGAGTCCAAGTCTCCGAGGAGTACGTCAAAGCAGGAAGGACAGCAGTGTCGAAAAGGTGAGCGTGAAGCCGGATGTTCTTCGCCTTCTTCACCACTACCTCGATCTTCTTCAATGCTCCTCACGCGGCGCGTTTCCTTCTGCACAGCTCCGGAGCTAGGTCGTTCATCATGTTGACTTTCCAACCTAGATACGCATAGCTAGAATATTCGGAGATATTCGTTCTGTTTAGCGTGTAGGAAGCATCAGGTGCCAGCCCGTTTTTCATGAACATCGTCTTCGTTAGGTTCAGCCTCAAGCCGATCTTTCCACAAGCACTATTAAACTCGGCCAGCAGTCGTTCCGCCTGCTCGATGTTCTGTGTTATAAGCACGATGTCGTCTGCAAAGCGGAGGTGATGTAGGAAGCGGCCGTCGACCTTCACTCCCAAGTCTTCCCATTCCAAATGACGCATGATATTCTCGAGGGCGGCACTGAAAAGTTTGGGCGAAATAGTATCGCCTTGCCGGACACCTCTCTTCACGTTGACAATTACTTCCTTATAGAATGGTGAAATCCTGGTCGTGAAGCTGTCGTAGAGCTCACGAAGCATCCTTATGTATTGCGTAGGAACACCCTGGTTGCCCAGGGCTTCAATTACCGCTTCTCTCTCAACGGTGTCAAAGGCTTTCTTCAAGTCGATAAACGTGAGACATACATAACGGCATTCCGTAATCTCGCGATACTTCAATGAGCCTTGTATGAGTGTGGATATGATCGATTGTGCTAAACCCTCTCCGAAAACCTGCTTGCTCGCATGGCTGTCCTTCATCTAATTTTCTGTCAATCCTCTTTAGGATGACGCGTGTGAAATCTTGTAGATTACAGACAGCAGGCAGACTGGGTGATAGTTGCCAATATCGTTAAGATTTCTTGTACAGCAACACATTCTTGCTAGTTTTCCACGACGTGGACACTTTGCATCCCGACAGGTACCGCGTGAAGAACCTAGCCAGAGTTCTGACCATAGCTGATGTAAGACTCCTCAGGTGTTCTGGTTCGACTCATTGGGACAGGGCGCCGTACAATTCTTTATCGACATGATGGCATGTCGTATTTCGGAAAGGAGAACCAGAGGAGGGATATATTCTTCTTGCCTAAGATGGTGGGTAGGCAGGTAGACGTGGCCGTCGAAGAGATCCGATTAGAAGTCGTTGATGACCTTCTCCATTGCCCTCCGAGATGCAGTACCTTCCGTCAGCACGACGAGGGAAAGTCCTCTTGGCCTTGTAAATAGCGAAGCTCTAACAGGCTTTGCAAAGGCTCTTTCCTTACTCAACGGCTTCGTTCATAACTGCTGATCTTCTCTCTTTCAGATCTTCCTTTATGGATTCGCTGCTGACCTTCGCAAGTTCGGACGTTTGTTGATGATTGCCTGTAGCTCGCGTGATTCCACGCTGGCGTATCAGCTCGAGAGCCTCCGAAGAGAGCCACCTACTTGTAGATTCACTGTTTCCTAGCGCTATC